TAGACTGTAAAAGAAGGCTGTCGAGCTCTACTTTGGTACAATCCCTGTCACTTTCTGTAATAACTGGCTTCTTTCACTTTGCATTATGTTTTCGAGATTTATTCATGTTGTAACATGTTATCTATGTTTGATTCCTTTTTTTTGCAGCCTTGGGTACTTTTTTGTGTCACTCCATCTAGTCCCTGTTTCTCGGGTGGTTACAGTAAGGCTCAGAGAGAGCTAGTGACCTGTCCAAGGTTACACGGCAAGTCCGTTGAAGACCGGGCTGGAACCTGGGCACTGACATCTGGCCTGAAATTCTTTCCACTCTCAGGAAAGAAACAGGCTTGGGGGGCTACAGCCAGCGCCGTTCAGGGCGGTGAGGATGGTCGTGTGAGGTAGAAGCAGGAAGGAGGGTCAGGTCCGTGCCCAGGATGTCAGGGTGGGAGAGGATCCTAACAGTGCCAATATCCTGCTCTGTAGCAGGTGCTTACTCCATCCCGGGTCTGACCCCTTGAAGACCCTCCCCTGTGTAAAACAGGAGGCTATGAAAGTTCAGGGCAGGGGCCAGGAATTCAGGCAGAAAACAGAACTTTGGACTGAGGGGCGCCCTTGAACATCAGGCTCAGAAGCGAGGGCTTTCTCTTATCCCAGGGCTAGGAGGAGCTCCCTGCTAGGGATTTCTTGGAAACTTGGCTGATACCGGCAGTCCTGGAGGTGGCTTGGAGAAATCGATCCATCCTAAGTAATACCATTAGCCCTGGTGGGAAAAGGAAGTGGCAGGGGAGGCTGGGGAGAGTCTGGTTTCTGGGAGCTTGCTTGAGTGCTCAGTGTCTGAGCAGCACGTCTCTGTTAGCAAGACTTCTGGGCCTCCTCAGAAGTACCTTCCGGGAAGCCCTCAGTGCCTCCTCCTTTTATGGCTGGTCCCTGGGGATGTGGGAATAATTCAAGCCATCCCATGGGGGAGACAGGCCCATCAATGGTGCTCATGCAAGATGTCTGGGGAAGACTGAGGGCTATGGGAAGCTGGGAAACCCTCTAACCAACCTGGATCTCAGGGGAGGCTCCCTGGAGGAGATAATGTCTGAGCTGAGACTTGAAGGATGGGTAGGTATTAGTCAGCTGAAGGGACAGCAAGTTCTGGAGGATAAGGCTAGAGAAATCAGAAACCATTTGTTCAAGAGCTTGCTCTGGTCACAGGTGAGGGCTTGGGTTGGTGGGGTGTGATCCCCGGAGGGAGGCCAGAGGATTTCCTACCTAGGGGAGAGATGAGACCTGAGCCAGGCCAAGGGGATGGTGAGAAGAGGCTGTGAGGGATGTTAGAAGCAGGTTGGGGAGTGGGGAGGTGGGAGGGGGGGCAGGGTGCCTGGGTGGCTCAGCTGGTTAAGCATCCAGCTTTGGCTCAGGTCATGATCTCACGGACCATGAGTCTGAGCCCTGCATCGGGCTCTGTGCTGACAACTCAGAGCCTGGAGCCTGCTTCACATTCTGGGTCTCCCTCTCTCTCTGCCCTCCCCCACTCACACTCTGTCTCTCTCTCTCAAAAATAAATAAACATTAAAAAATAAAAAAAATAAAAAGCCTTGGGGTGCCTGGGTGGCTCACTTAGTTGGGCATTGGGCTGCTGCTCAGGTCGTGATCTCGCGTTTCACGGGTTCGGGCCCCGTGTCAGGCTCTGTGCTGACAGCTCGGAGCCTGGAGCCTGCTTCGGATTCTGTGTCTTCCTCTCTCTGCCCCCCCCTCTCTCTCTCTCAAAATAAATAAACATTTAAAAAAATTAAAAAAAAAAAAAAAAAAGCAGGTTGAAGAGGTCAGTGTGGCCTGTGCTGGGTCTGCAGGGCCTGGGTGACTCACCGGGGACAGGCAGTTGCTTCTGGCTGTCTCAATCAGGACACAGCCACCAGGTGGGCTTTGTCACACCTAGTAACTGAAGCCGTGGGAAGGGACAAAAGGCCCCAGGAGAATATGCAGAGGAGAGAGAAGAGGTTTGCCTCCCCAAGATGCCCCTAGAGTTATGAATGGTGTGAAAATTCATCAAGCAGGGGGAAGGGGGGAGATGATTCCAAGAGCCACAATCAGCTGAGCCCTGGGCTGAGGCCCTAGGGCAGGCGGTTCTGCTTTCCTGATTTGAAGTGCAATTTCCATTCCTGGTGCCTTATAATGCTCATTTGGGGGTGGGGGGGCAGGGCAGAGGACATGTGGGACTCAGTCCCAGGCTCCAGGAGTCCTGGGAAAGGCTTGTGAGAGCAGGGGGACCTGGGCGTGCGCTCCTGTTCACAGAAAGCCCACCTGCTACACCTCAGTCACTGCAGTGATGTGCCCTCTCGGCACCCGCCCCCCAGTCTGCTCTCCTATGGGTGTCAAGGCAAAGGCTGTTACCCCATTTTACAGATTCAGAAACCAAGGCTCAGGGAAGAACCCTAGAGGCCCCAGCCACAGAGCAAAGGTGGGGACAGATGTGATGGATCTGACCAGCAGAGGCCCTACTCTTGGGGTAAGATCTGGCCTTCTACCCCCTCTGGAAGGCTGCGAATGTGGGAATACATTTGTATGCTCCTTCTAGAGTGGAATGAAGTAAAGCTGAGAGCCTTCTCCCCCAACTGCCCCTCCCGCTCTACAACCCCACAGGACCTAAGTCACCAGACTACAACAGCACCCCACTGCACACTGTTCCCTAAGCCCTGGGCTCAGCTTGGCTCAGAGAGCCCTCAGCAGCTGCATCCTATTCCACATACCTCCCCGGGGAGCCACGGGCACAGAGGCTATGCCAGACAATTCCCAGCAATTAGGAGGCTCCTGGTCAGTCAATATTCCCAGCAAGGCCCTAATGCATCTCCCCCCTCCTAACAGACCAGAGGCTATAATCCTTGTGCTGAGGTTAGCATTTGGTCGGGTGGGGCAGGGGAGCAGGGGTAGGTCGAGGCCCTGAGTGCCACCGAGGTGGAAGCTGTGGGTAGGCCTGAAGCCCAGACCGACCGCCCCTCTGGAGCAGCCCCTGGGCACTTAGGCCTCAGCTCAGTGCTGCCTCCAGGAAGCATGCCCCGTCGCTCCCCCTCCCCCTGCCACCATGCACAATGTTAAGTGCCCACAGGTCCCCCTTACTCTCTCCAAAATACCAGCTCCTGAGCCATTATAGCCGGCCCAGGGGTTGAGGTCAGCAAACTGCCCCCGTAAAAGGGCTGGGCAGTATGTATTCTAGTCTTTGTTGGCCATTCAGGCTCTCTTACAATCACCCACCTCTGCAGTTATAGTTACGGAAGCCATAGACAATACATAAGCAAATGATTGAGGCTGCATCCAATAAAACTTTATTTATGGACACGGAAATCTGAGTCTCGTATAATTTTCATGTGTCACAAAATATTCTTGTTTTCATTTGTTCCCCCAAACTGTGAAAATATAGAAAAACCATTCTTAGCTTGTGGGTTATATAAAAATAGGTGGCTGGTTGGATTGAGTTACATGAGTTACAATTTGCCAACCCTGGGCCTAGAGCAAGGCCCCTTGGAGCCAGACTGACTGGCTCTGCTGTGTGACCTTTGGCAAATGGCTAAACCTTTCTGTGCTTCAGATTTCTCATCTGTAGAATGGGGGTGATAATGATAATACGTGGGGAATGTCAAATGCTGCGGCTGCTTTGTTGTTCTTGCAAAGCAGCTTTTGGCCATTTTCAAAGGTTAAACACGGAGGGGCGCCTGGGTGGCTCAGTCGGTTAAGCATCCAACTCTTGATTTCAGCTTAGGTCATGATCTCTCATGGTTCATGAGATTGAGCCCTGCATCAGGCTCCACACTGTCCACACTGAGTATGGAGCCTGCTTGGGGTTCTCTCCCCGCCCCCTCTCTCTGCCCCTCCCCTGCTTGCACACTCTGTCTCCCAAAAATAAATAAACGTTGAAAAAAATTTTTTAAGAATAAAGGGTGAAATTTTTGGCTTGTGAGTTTGATCTCATAGGGCTGCTATAAGAGTTAATGCAGAATAAATGACTGACTTTGCCTCTCATGGGTCCTACGGGGGCCCTGAGGGCATCGGTGTGCCTGTCCTGTTCACATTGTCTCCAGGACCTAGGATAGGACCCGACACATAACATGTGGCTTCGAGTTTCTAGAGTCCCACAGATGGGGGGTTGCATCCTGACTCCTTGGGTAAATTATTTGGCTGCTCTGGGCCCCAGGACCCTCGTCGGTCAACGGAATGATAATGACAGTGGTGATAAGGATCAGATGATGTTTGACATCGGGGCGTGTGAGGGGCCCAGGCCGGCGGCCACTTGACCACATTTGGCCCTTGCTGGCCTCAAGAGGCCGAACCCCCCCCCCCCCCCACAGGTGTCTCCTGGGCGCCAGGCAGGGTCGGGCAGTTGCCCTGATGGCAGCAACTCGACCCACAGGCCACCATTCATTGTTCCACCCACCACGGGCAGAACTCCCTGAGCGGGCAGCCCCCCGAGCCCAAAGGAGCGAACACTTTGGGGGCACCAGAGCAGTTTCCCAGCTTGACCGCAGCCAGGTATCAGACTGCACGCCAGGCGCCGTCCCGTCCTTTCTCCGAGCCTCAGCTTGTCCAGTTATCAAATGGGTTTGGGACGTAGGCCCTGCCACCTGAGGGGCAAAGTGTTCACCCAGTGCCTGCTGTATTTCAAATAAAATACATTGGGGGACACGATTGAGAAAATAAAGCTGAGAACGGCTGAGGGAGGATGGGAAGGGGTTGCAGTTTGACAGGAGGTGGCCTGGGAAAGTCTGGTTGAGAAGAGAACATTTGAGCAAAGACCTGAGGAGAGGAGGGAGCCCCGTGGAGCTCTAAGGGAAAAGCAATCCCGGCACAGGAAGCAGCAGCAGGGACAGAGCAGGTGTGGCTGGGGGGGATCGGGTCGGGGGTGAGGGGCAGGAGACTGCCGGGGAGCCGGCAAGGGTGTGGGCCTTACCGCGGGGCCCTGTGCGGGACTGGCACCTTCTGCTGGGGCTGGGGCTGGCTGCCTGCACCTCCCCTGCCTCACACCCCTGTGCTTCCTCCTGCAGGACCGGCCAGGGGCCTCATGGGTGCCTGAGGGCCGGGCGCCAGGGCCGCACGCAAGAGCATGGTGAGACACCAGCCCCTGCAGTACTATGAGCCACAGCTGTGCCTCTCCTGCCTCACGGGCATCTACGGCTGCCGCTGGAAGCGCTACCAGAGATCCCACGATGACACCACACCGGTGAGCCAGGCTGGGATGGGGTCAGAGGACTAGGGAGCCCCAGGGCCTGGGGGAAGCGTCTCAGCTCCATCACTCTGCTGTGTGGCTCTGGACAGGTCAATGCCCCTCTGGGTTTCAGTGTCTCCTTCTATAAAATGGGCCCGTGGTCACTCCTAAATCTACGTGACCAGGTGGGAAAGGAAGTAGGCCACCCTGTCATAGATGAGGCTGGTGAGCTCTCCTCTGACACACGGGACCTGGGCTGCTCCTGAGGTCTTGGCAGAGAGGGACGCTCCAGGAGGGACACTCCAAGAGGAAGGGCTCACCCCAAGGTGAACAGAAGTTTTCAGCTTCCTGGCAGATCCAGACAGGCCGGCAAGCAGGTGAGTGGTTGGAGGGAAGGGTGAGGAGGTGGTGCCAGGCCCTCCTGGAGCTTGGGAGCTGGCAGGGCCATGGCCTGGCACCAGGACTCTGTCACCTGAGCCACAGGCCTGTCGGAGCTGGCAGCAGGTGCCCAGCCAGATAAAGAAAGCCTCCTTCAATGGCCGGCACCCCAGGCCAGACCCAGAGCCGAGCCACGCTTCCGTCCCTGGGTCTCTGTCAGCCCATGGATCTAGTTTCTTCTCTGAAGGAACCCAACTCCTTCAGGAGGGAAGAGAGGGAGGTCAAAGGAGTTTATCTAACAGGTTTGCTGCCCGGTAAATAGCTTTCCTCCTCTCTCCTGTTTGTCGGAACAAAGAAGCCAGCCTCCAAATTCAGCCAGCCTTGAAATAGGCCAAAGGTGTGGGTGGTCAGCTGAGGTCAGAGGCCAAGTATCACCAGGCTCTCTGGATGGGGAGGATGGGGAAGCCCGTCCACCATCCTGACCTCCTTCTCTGCCTGTGCTGGTGACCGACAGAGCACTAGCCTGAGTCAGGAGCCTGGGTTCATGACTCCCAAATGGTAAGAAGCAGGTGCCACATGGCCTGATGTATTGCCACTCCCAGCCCAGAGGAGGCCACATGCTAAGCTGAGGCAAGGAAGAGGGAGGGGCCTGCCCAAGGCCCCAGGGCAGGTCCCTGCAGTGCTGGGGTGGCAGCCTCAGTCTACCCTCGGCCCTGCCTGGGACAGCCTTTCCCTCTTACGTGTTTGTGGGATCTCCCCAACAGTGATGTGGGCCATGAGATCGGAAGTCAGGCAGGCTTAAGTCCAAAGAGCGCCCAGTTGTACCAAATTGCACAAAATTGTACCCGGTTGACTCCGGGCTTTCTCACCTGTGCAATAACATCCCCACTGAGGGAGCTGCCGGTGGCACTAATGGCACCAAGGGACGGGCACAGTGCTGGCTGTGACTAGTCGTTAAGTCATTCCCGACTCCAGGGCCTCGGCCTCTCCATCTGTGAAATGGAACAGGGGTTGGGTCAAGACTTGAGAATTCCTTTTCCACTGTGATCTGCTCTGAGCTGCGTTCTCCCCAGGGACTCGGGGCAGGCAGCAGGGCCTCCCCGTGTCGGGAAAGGCAGCAGCTTGGCAGGCAGCTGGCATCTGGGTGTCTGTGCCAGGAGCGGTGCTGAGCGCTGACACACGGCTACTCGTTCCTCCCAACGAGCCCTCGAGCTAGATGTCGCGGCCACCATTTCACATGGGGAAGCAGAAGCCAGGGATGCCAGTGAGGGGCAGAGTTGGGAGCTGGCCCCGGGCAGCGTAGGTCCAACAGCTCTGGGTGGGAAGACAGCGGAAGCTGAGGGAGGAGGATGGCTGGGCTCCCCAGCGGCAAGCCCCTTGGCTGTCAGAGTAGCCGCTGGAGGAAGGCGTGGCTCCCAGGACATCCCACACCCCTCAGTGCGCCCAGGGCAGGCCCATCCCAGGCTTCAGAGTCAGGAAGTGACCGGGCTTGGCTGTGACCAGCACGGGGCCCTGGGGTGGAGGAAGTGGTGAGCTGAGGCCAGTTCTGGACTGACTCAGAGCCCAAGTGGTGCCGGCTCCACAGATGCCAAGATCTGGGGTGCCAGGTATGGCACAAAGGCAGTAGGGGCTGCAGGGGCCACAAGCCAGCTTGGCCTGGAGAGGGTTTTGCCACAGCTCTGGGTGTCAGAGCCTCCGGGCCTCCACAGGAAGGGCTGAGCTCACCTCAGGCGACCCAGGAACCACGGAGACTCCCCCTTCCCTGTCACTCACCTCATTCCGCTTCCCCGCCCACTTCCCCGGGTTCCAGCCTCAGCCTGCTCACCCTTTTTCTCTCTTTCCCCCTTGTTCTTTCTCCCCAGTCCCTCCTTAGATGGCTGGGTGAGGACCGAGGGCGAGGCCTGTGATGTCCCCGGGGGGGGCTGGGCCCTCTAGCCTGACACAGTGAGGGGAGTAGTGATGGCATCAGAGCTGGTGGAGCAAACTCCCTAAGTTTTGCTGAATGAACAGGCCCTGGGGTGAGCTCTGGAAGCACAGGTTGGGGGGAAAGAGCACTGTCAGGGCCTCCAAAAGGCGTGGGGGCTCCAACTTTGGGCCTGTGCCTCTTCTCATCCCCAACTTCCCCTCAGACTTTGGGGGCCCCACTCTGCCCAGGTGCTGCCGCCCCTCAAGTCCCCTTGGGGGAGCCTCCCCCGGCCTTTCCCAACTCAGACAAGCCCTGGCTCAAGTTCTTCTGTGAAGCCAGACCTCTCTGGTCCTCATCTGTGAAATGGGGTGACAGACTGGGGGTGAGTCGCAGAAGCATTTCACTCATGATCTTGCTCAGCCTGGGAAATAAAGCATGAGAGTAACAGTTAACATTTATTGGATACCTATTGTATGCTGGGATCCCAGAGCTTACCTGCATTGCCCTGTTGATTTGTTAGGTCGCCCCTGTGGGGCAGTTAACTGTCATGCTGATGGAGAACTCAAGGCTTAAAGCCGCATCACACATCACACTGGAGAGAGTCCACGGTAGATTTGCAACAGGAGCCTCAGGAAGAGGAGGGGGGTGGGGGGCGGGGGGGGGGCACGCATGGTTGGAGTAGGAGATTAAATGAAAACGTGCAAGAAGGGGAAGAAAGCAGGGCCTGGAGGATCACTTGGGAAGTTGCCTGGGGAGGAGGAAGAAGATCGTGAGACCAGGAGTGTGCGGGGCAAGAATGGGAGTGGCTTGAATGCCAGACCTGGAGCCTTCCGTGGCTCTGGGATCAAGAGCTGGCCCTGCAGTACAGGAGTGGATCCTGGGGAGCCGGGAGGAGCCCCCTCCTCTGGGTCCCAGCTGGCAGCCTCCTTCCTGCCCCACCAGCCTATCCTTCCTGTCCCCCCAGCCTGACGCATTCCCACCTCCTCCGATCCTTTTGCTCGTACTGTCCCCCACCCCCAGGACACACACTGGACAAATAAGGAAGCAGGAAACTGAGGACCGGAGAGGTGAAATGACCTATTCTGCCCCCAGCCCCTAGGGAGTGGAGGAGCCTGGCAGCAGGAGGCCGGCTCACTCGACAGCTAGGAAGGGGAAGTGAACCTTTTTATAACTGGGGATAATTAATTGGTTGTTGTCTGTGACTCATTACTCTAATGCCGCCAATTAAGGACTTGCTAGGACAGAAGACAGTTCTCAGGCTGTCCCCCAGGGCCCCCCTGAAGACTGTGTGTCTGTGGGAGGCAGCATAGTGTCAAAACCAGCTTCTCTGTAGCAAGAGGCATATAGGTCAGACACCTGAAGGAACTTCCCAGCCCAAGACAGACAGCGACTGTCACCTCTCTCGTGTTTCTATAGCACATTTGCCTTTTGAGGGCTGTTTTTTAAAAAGCTCATTTGGCCCCTCTGTCTCACAGAGGAGGCTCCAGGAAGAATGAGTGGTTTATTCAAGCCACGGGGGTTGAAGGCACAGCCTACATTGCCCCCTGCTTGCATCCCCAGTCCAGACTGTTCCACACCCACAGTCTTGTCTGGGATGCACTAATTACTTATTTAATCAACACACCCGTCCGTCCCGATACTTGCTCTGGGCCCTGGGGTCAGGGAGGGGTACCTGACCCGGCTCCCCCCCTCCCTTGAAGGGCTCCCAGGCTGGTGGGGGAGCATACAAGATCCAACATACCCAGGCCACCCAGGATGATCCCTGCTGAGGCCCAGGAAAACCCCAGGCAGGAGAGCTGGCCTGACCTGATGTCTGGGAGTTAGTCCTGTCTCGCCGGCTGGGGAAGTGTTCAAGGCACGGGGAGCCATGCGGACCAGAGCTTCCTTGTGTACTGGAGTTTCTTGTGTTTGGGAACCGAAAGCAATCTGGCCTCAATGTGGCTCCGCGTGAGGAGGGAAGGTGGTGGCCACATGGCCTGGGCCTGAGGCTGTGCCAGGGAGCCTGTTCCCCCTCCTGGGTGGAGGCAGCCCAGTCAGATTCAGGCTGTGCGAGGACCAGTTTGGTTAAATTGTGGAGGATGCGCCGAGGGGCCTGGGGTGGAGGTGGGGAGAGCAGGGAACTAGAGAGAGAGAGAGAGGTGGAGGCCGCTTTGCATACCCCAGGGAGGGGTATGCCGTTCCGTGCAAAGGGAGGAATTCTAGAGACACTTGGAAGCTATAATCAACAGACTGGCTGTGGAAGAGATTGAGGGAGTCCTTTATGATGCCTCCCACCATCCCCTGATTTCTAGCCTAGCCGGATGAGGCCATTCCAGGGATGGAAATGGTGCTGTGTCCAGGGGCAGGTGGGAGGGGAGAGTGGTCTCTGTAGAGTCCAGGAAGAGCACAGTGCAGGTGGGACACAGACAGCTAAGTCTCTCTTCCCCCAAGACCTACTTCCTACGACAGGAGCCCCTGCAGCCATACAAGAAGACCCCACTGGGGGATGTTCATCAGACCTCCACCCCCCACCCCTTACCCCTCCCAGGGGAACCTCACCCCTTCATAGCATCCTGCTTTTGCTCAGGCTGTCCCCTCACTTGGAATGTCCCTTCTCTCTTTTACATCTCAAGGCTCGTCACGAACGCCTACCCTTCTAAGAATTACCCCCCTCGAACAAAAAGAGAATCAGGCCTCCCTCCCTCGGGCTCCCACAACACCTCAGGCCTGGGCTGCCCCTTCGGACTGTGAC